GAGTTAGAAAGGATGCCTGGTATAGGCAGGTAAGCTGCTGGTCATATGTAACGTAGGGAAAAGAACAAGTGGTTGTCTGATTGCCACTCGGGGTAGCCGAGGGCCATTCACGTACCTGTTGTACAAGGTGTGATGAGCCTTAAGTCATTCAAGACAAGGTTTAACTATGTTCAGTCTGCTCTGATAAAAATAGCAGGGAGATATATGAGAAAAGTAACATGCAAAGCTTTATATAAATATGATCTCAAGCATGTTTTAAATATAGGAATATGTAGATTAAAATGCTGGAAGGAAATACAGCGTTAATAGTGAGTATCTCCAGGTGGTAGAATCATAGGTGATTTTCTTTTCGTTTTTTAAAGATAGTTTTTGTGTATTTTCTAGATTTTCTACAATGAGTCTCATTACTTTTGATGGTAAATACTTTCATCTTTTAAAAATATTCCATTCCATGTGTTCAGGTGGTTCTTTTTCATATCTGCCTGGTCTTTTTTTGATGTTATTTATCTTATGTTTTGGTTTTGTCTCTGTTAAAATTGAGTAAGTAGTCCTTTCTACAGTACCTGTCTGAAAATGCCCTGCTTGTTATGATGCGACCCTCATTGATGGGGGTTTTTTCACGTGTTGCTAGTTTGGAATTTGGGGCTCCTCATTGGTGGGGCTTAGCCTGAGAGTCCTCTGCTGTCTTCCTAGCATGCAGCCCCCACCCCCAGATTGGTTTAGCTCTGCCTGGGGCTCCGGCCGCACCTGGGGCTTGCTCTTCATCTTTGGTCCTTGGCCTTGGAGCAGCGCTGCAGTTACAGATTTTCAGGGGAGCCTCCCCCCACAGCTCAGGCAGACAGCTTCCTCGTAGTCTCCCTCCTCCGGGGGGCTTATCCAATCTTTACCTGCAGGGTCTTTTTAGGGGTCTCGGCTCCAGCGCTCCCCTCCTGTCGATGCCTAGGCACTTGCCCTGTGTGTTCCTTAAACCCTAAGTCACCAAGAACAGCAAAGCCCACAGGACAGCAGGAACGGCAGCTCTTCTGCTCTGATTTCTTTCCCCCTGCTTGGGGTCTCCTCCTTTCTTTTGAGCTCAGCTCTGCATGTAAGAGCTCTCTCAGTCTGGCTGCCTGTTAGAACCACCTGGGATGCTTTTGTCACTTCCCTTTCCCAGGCTGCAGCCCAGACCAGTTCAGTCAGAGTCTCTGGGTGGGACGCCAGGCATCAGGATTTTATTTTTAAATTTTAGTGTGGTAAAATATATATAACAAAACTTTGTCATTTGAACCATTTTTAAGCATGCAGTTTAGTGACATTACTTTCACCGTATAGCGCTCCCGTCGTCACTATTTCCAGAGTTTCCATCAGCCCAAGCGGGAACTCAGCACACTTTAAGCAGTAACTCTCCATTCTTCTCCCTTCGCACAGCCCCAGGTAACCTCTAATAAACTTTGCCTGGCCTAGATGTTTCCTGCAATTGTGATCACACAGCATTCGTCTTTTATTTCACACCCCATGATGTTGTCAAGGAGCCCTGGTGGCGCAGTGGTTAAGAGCTGAGGCTGCTAACCACAAGGTCAGCAGTTCGAATCCACTGGCCTCTCCTTGGAAACCATATGGGGCAGTTCTACTCTGTCCTGTAGCATCGCCACGAGTTGGAATTGACTCGACGGCGCATGGCAACAACAACGTTTTCAAGGCTCATCAACGTTGGAGCATTGTCAGAACTTGATTTCCCTCTGTGGCCCTTTCTGGTGTACGCCACATTTGTGTATCCGTTCATTGTTGATGGACACTTGTCTTGTTTCCAAGGTGTCAGTGTTTTTTTTTAGAGCTCCCCAGGTAAGTACAGTGGGCAGCCAGGGTTGGAAACCACTGATTTACACTGGTGTTGGTTTTACTTTCCCCAGTGACTTAAGTGTGTGTCTGTAGGTGTATGTATGTATGCATTTCTATAGTGGGAGTGTTTTCAAGTTATCTTATAAGCAATAATAGAAAAAGAAGCAGACCTTGTTATTATAATTAGAAAAAATCCTCCTAGACTTAGGTAGGAAGGAAACCAACATTTATTAAGCTCCTACTGTGTGCACCATGCTTAGGTCTTTCACAATGTTAGCTCATTTAATCCTGAGAAGAATCCTGCAAGATAGACGGTGGGATTCCTCACGTTTGCAGATGGGAAGACTGTCTCAGAGAAGGTAATAACTAGTTTCAGGCCACACAGCTTACAAGCGGCAGAGCCAGACTCGGACCCATGAGACATCCGAGCCCATGCCCTTTTTCTTATGCTGTGGCGTATGTGAAATACAGAGATTTTCCTATACAAATTGGTTAAAATAAAAAGTGGTACTTGGGTTAGAATAAGCTCCAAGTATCTGTTAAACATCCTTATTTGGCATACTTTATCTTACCACAATGCCAGGCCTGCTCTACTCACTTTAACTCACTTCTGATGAGATTAAAGGGGTTTTGATTAATAGCTTGTGATTTTAGAAGTTTAAGTCATTTAAGCTGAGCAGAAGATTTCAAAGGGCGGCTCGAGAAGACAAAGTAAAGTATTGTAATGACACGTGCAAAGACCTGGAGATAGAAAATCAAAAGGGAAGAACACACTCAACATTTCTCAAGCTGAAGGAACTGAAGGAAAAATTCAAGCCTCGAGTTGCAATATTGAAGGTTTCTACGGGGAAAATGTTAAATGACTCAGGAGGCATCAGAAGAAGATGGAGGGAATACACAGAGTCACTGTACCAAAAAGAATTGGTCGAAGTTCAGCTATTTCAGGAGGTAGCATATGATCAGGAACTGAGGCTACTGGAGGAAGAAGTCCAGGCTGCACTGAAGGCACTGGGGAGAAACAAGGCTCCAGGAATTGACGGAATATCAATTGAGATGTTTCAACAAACAGATGCAGTGCTAGAAGTGCTCACTCAACTATGCCAAGAAATTTGGAAGACAGCTACCTGGCCAACCGACTGGAAGAGATCCATATTTAGGTCTATTCCAAAGAAAGGTGGTCCAACCAAATGTGGAAATTATCCAACAATATCATTAATATCACATGCAAGTAAAATTTTACTGAAGATCATTCAAAAAGATCATTTACTGTATATCGACAGGGTACCAGAAATTCAAGCTGGATTCAGAAGAGGACGTGGAACAAAGGATATCATTGCTGATGTCAGATGGATGTTGGCTGAAAGCAGAGAATACCAGAAAGATGTTTACCTGTGTTTTATTGACTGTGCTAAGGCACTGTGTGGATCATAACAAATTATGGATAACATTGGGAAGAATGGGAATCCCAGAACACTTAACTGTGCTCATGAGGAACCTGTGCATTGATCAAGAGGCAGTCGTTCGAAGACGACAAGGGGACACTGCATGGTTTAAAGTCAGGAAAGGTGTGCATCAGGGTTGTATCCTTTCACCATACCTATTCAGTCTGTATGCTGAGCAAGTAATCCGAGAAGCTGGACTGTATGAAGAAGAACGTGGCATCAGGATTGGAGGAAGACTCATTAATAACCTGCGTTATACAGATGACACAACCTTGCTTGCTGAAAGCGAAGAGGACTTACTGATGAGGATCAAAGACCACAGCCTTCAGTATGGATTACACTTCAGTGTAAAGAAAACAAAAATCCTCACAAGTGTACCAATAAGCAACATCATGATAAATGGAGAAAAGATTGAAGTTGTCAAGGATTTCATTTTACTTGGATCCACAATCAACACCCATGGAAGCAGCAGTCAAGAAATCAAACGACACATTGCACTGGGCAGATTTTCTGCAAAAGACCTCTTTAAAGTGTTGAAAAGCAAAGATGTCACCTTGAAGACTAAGGTGCACCTGACCCAAACCATGGGGTTTTCAATTGCCTCATATGCATGGGAAAGCTGGACAGTGAATAAGGAAGACTGAAGAAGAATTGACACCTTTAAATTATGGTGTTGGGAAGAGTGTTGAATATACCATGGACTGCCAAAAGAATAAACAAATCTGTCTTGGAAGTAAATACAGCCAGAATGCTCCTTAGAAGCAAGGATGGTGAGACTACATCTCATATACTTTGGACATGTTATCAGGAGGGATCAGTCCCTGGAGGACATGATGCTTGGTAAAGTGGAAGGTCAGCGAAAAAGAGGAAGACCCTCAACGAGATGGATCGACACAATAACTGCAACAGTGGGCTCAAGTATAACAACGATTGTGAGGATGGCGCAGGACCGGGCAGTGTTTCGTTCTGTTGTATGTCTCTACGAGTCGGAATCGACTTGACGGCACCTAGCAACAACAACAACTCATTTTAGTTTATCACTTTCTATAAACTTGGAGTAAATAATTTAGTTCTAGTTCTTTTAATTCTATAGTATGTCATAAAGGGATAAAAAAAAACCCAGTTGCCCCATAGGGTTTCCACGGAGCAGCTGGTGGATTTGAACTGCCGACTCTTTGGTTAGGAGCCTGAACTCTTAACCACTGTGCACCATAAAGGGATATTTATAAAAAATACATTTCTTTATCCCTCTTACGATCCCCTTCTTAATTCGCATGGAGTGTTGTGGTGTGTGTGTCCATGCACAGGTGAGCACTGCAGGGGAGAAGGGCGAGGATGAGGAGAGGGGAAAGAATAAAGAGATAGGGGTTGGGGTTCCCTGTGGCGCCAGATGCTTGGGGTCAGGCCAGGAAATTGGGACTCAGAGCTGTTTGGTTGTCTGCGTCAGTGAAGCATCACTGAAGATGTATTGGGTTTTAATGAACAGTTGTTTTTGCCACCCTCCCCAGCGCGACAGGCCTTGAGTGTGCGTACCCGTTTTTTCTTTCTTGTCTTGACTTCACTCTCATCCTGCGTCAGCTGCGGTGAATGACTTTCAGAGTTATCTGTGCCCAGAGCCTAGAAGAATCACTTCTCTGTGGGAATGTATGTGTTAGGCTTTTCAGGAGGGTATGCATTTCACTTGATTGCGATTAGGTAGAAACCAGACTGCCTCTAAGTCTTTGTCTTTTTCACCGGCAGCTCTTCTGGGTCTTCCGTCTGCGTGTTGCAACCCCAGAAAACCAGCAGGATGGCTGCAAACAAGAATAAGAGCCAGAGCTCCTTGGCCCTTCACAAGGTGATCATGGTTGGCAGTGGCGGTGTGGGCAAATCGGCCCTGACGCTTCAGTTCATGTATGATGAGGTAAGATGTGCCTCGGTCACAGACCGCCGTCCTCGTGTCAGCTGCACCGGTGTCCCTTCTCCAGCTCTGTTTCTGTCCCCATTTCCCCATGTGAAAGAGGATCGCAGAGCAAATTTGTGTTAAGGTGGTTTCCGAATAGTTTTATAGGTGCTGTGTAACTTAACCAGCATAAGATGTGGATTGCTGATTTTAGAAAAATAAAGATCCCCTAAGGAGCCCTGGTGGTGCAGTGGTTAAAGTGCTCGGCTGCTAACCAAAAGGTTGGTGGTTGGTTCGAACTCATCAGCCACTCCATGGGAGAAAGATGTGGCAGTCTGCTTCTGTAAAAGATTTACAGCTGCTCCTTGGAAACCCTATGGGGCAGTTCTACATTGTCCTATAAAGGTCACCATGAGTTGGAATTGACTCAGTGACAGTGAGTTTGGTTTTTTGGTTTAACGATCCCCTGCGTGGCACAAACGGCTAAATGCTTGACTACTAGCTGAAAGGGTGGCATTTGAACCCACCCAGGGGCAGCTGGGGAGACGGGCCTGGTGATCGCTTCTGAAAGGTCATAGCCTCGAAAACCCTGTGGAGCAGTTCTACTGAGTCGGAATCAACTTGACAGTTACTAACAACAGCAATTTCACCTTTGTCAGGCATATCAGGGGTCCCTGCTTGTCTTGTTTCTATTGTTACACTTTGAGCTTTCTTTCTGATGGGAGCAAGGGAGGAGGAAGGGAACTTTGTACAGGTGTTTCTAAATAATAGCTGTGATATTTAGCTATGTGACTAGTTAATTTTGGGAGGGATTGAATGGGGTAGCTGAGTGGTCATTAGAACTTGATCTTTCCTCAAGTGACAGACGTCAGATTCTCCCTCATTCTCCCACGCAACAAGGTAAACGTGGCTTTTCTCCTCACCATCCCGTCAGAAGTTACATCGTTTACTTAGTGTGGATAAGGCAGCTGATGCTGAATCTGTGGGACAACACAGCCTTAATTTCTGTGGCAACCAGAGCCCTGCTTGACTGTCCTTTGCTGGAGCTACAGGCAGACAGTTCAGACCAGAGCCCTGCCTGACTGTCCTTTGCTGGAACTACAGGCAGACGGTTCAGACCACAGCCCTGCTTGACTGTCCTTTGCTGGAGCTACAGGCAGACGGTTCAGACCACAGCCCTGCCTGACTGTCCTTTGCTGGAACTACAGGCAGATGGTCAGACCAGAGCCCTGCTTGACTGTCCTTTGCTGGAGCTACAGGCAGACGGTTCAGACCACAGCCCTGCTTGACT